GGCAAAGGCAAACAATATATACACACAGTTATTGAAGGTCTTACAGTAAAGTCTTAATATGAGCCTAAATCAGACTCTAAAATCCAAGTGGTAGCTATTGCCAGCTCACCAGCAGCAGCAAGCAGGAGCCAGATTGTCCTCTAATCCAGACATAAGCTTTCTAAGGTCTGCCTCGCTTTTCAACTGTATGTCAATAGAGCTCCACTGGGGGAGTGCCCAGGTGAAGCACCCCTTTGATTCCCTGTCAGGAGTGCCCTGAGAATTTCTCTCTTTAAGGGATGTCATCCTGGTTGCAATTACTTGGGCAAGTATCTTTTTCAGTTGTGCAAGTCTTATCCGGGAACAGCAGAACTGCCTCTCACATGAGGGCAAAGTTTTGCTAAGAGTTAATGCAGCCTTTGTTCCAAAAATAAACCCAGTTATAAGAAATTATTGTTTTTTTTCATCTTTTTTTTGTCCATATGTGAAAAAATTTAAAAACACACCTGGCACATTCTTGATGTCAGAAGAGCTCTAAAAATCACCCATCATAAATAATAAAAAAAAAAACCAACTTGCCAAGGCTTTAGTTATTGGTGCTTTCTAAGGCTAGAAGCCTTCTCTCCCCTTGAACGTTTGTGTTAATTTATTCAGAGCGATGAAAGCTTCCTGGCCTGAAGGATCTTATGCAACGTACAAAGAGAGACATAGGGTTGTAAGTTTCACAACTGAAACCTGTGGACTTCACTAGTTCCTGTCATTGGAGGGAGACTTCTGTGTACTATGCTCACTCAGTAATTAATATATATGATTGATCTATTTCTGCAGGAGAGCCCGCAGATCCATTACAATGGGAGATGCTCTCAGGGGAGGAGACAAGGAATGAATGAGGAGATAGACGCGGTAGTTTTTTGTAAATACATATTTGCTGCAGAATCTCATGGCAAAATTAGGCAGCAGTTGGGAGCTTTTCTAGGATGTATGTCAGCAAATGCACTAGTTCAATTCTGGAACCATCTTATGTTGGAAGCTGCCTTTGATTAACTGTCATGCTCCTCATTAATGATACCAAGAAACATGGAGATAAACATACTGTTCACATCGATATATGTCTATTTTTAAAACAATCTGCCCCAATAGTTCTAAAGCTGTTACACAAATAATTTTATTTCCATACTGTACTTCGTTTAAATGGTCAACCACACTTACAGAGTAGGAGACAAATCTGAATTGCAGTTAGAGCTCTGTGAATGATGTAGAAAACATTCAGTGAATAATTGAGTTCTTAAACAAATTCATTTTCTTTGTATTTGTAGTCTCTTTGATGCTTTCTGCACATAGTCTAGTGAATGAGATTACTGGCAGCCAGCAATGCGTATCAGAACAATTAAATTCAAGCAAATATTGCTGAATGTTCATGGAAAGCAAACTTTGAACTTACAATCATCAAAATTTTCACCAGAAAAGAGAACCTAAGAATGATTCTCCTCCAGTCATGGAACAGAAGCATACCATGTGACTAGTATGTCCAGTAAAACTGCTCAAATTTCAAATATTCGCCATGCTGTTTGTGGGAATTATTTGTAGACATCTGGCAGATTTCCAATAACGTATCACAGTCGGGTCAGTTGTATATGTTTGTTGGCTACTTGCTAGTGGAAACGGAGTTGATATTTGACAAATTTAAAGGCAAACAATTTTCTGCTCAGAAATTCTATGGACTGTGGTAGGAAATAATTAGGTGAAGAGTATCAGTATATTTTCGGGTACGCTGCTAGTGGGTTGTCTGTTCTCTATGTGCATTTCGTGACTCCAATTTTGAAGTGATATCGTTAACCATGTTTACAGAGTTGCTGTGTAACATCCCTACTAGAATCCACTAAATCACATTACTCGCGTCGTTTTACATAGTGATTGAAAACCACCTCAGTTTTCAATAGAAGTCCAGTGGAACTTCTTCCCCTCTCCTCAG